GAGGAATTGAATTTCAGGAAGATAACTCTTCCAAATTCTTACAAAGCTTGAATAACTAATATGATGTTCTGATCCAGTTCCAATATCATTTTAAAAAATTTTCATGTATTTCTGCGTAGTTAACCCTTGTAGGTAAATAAATAATTGCTTTTGTAGCTCTTTCAAAATGGCAACCTAGAATAAAAAGAAATAAGATATTGATCAATGTTAAATAACACATATTTTAATTTTACCTGGTGATGGTAAACCATTCAAATTTGCATAACTTTTTAAAAAAGTAAGCACTTTTAATACTGTTTCAAAAGAGAGCTTATGAGAAACATTCCTTCCTTTATTCAAATGTACCTTTGGTACAATATCATCATTTTTATAGTGATTCTTTAAAGCAGTTAATCTATCATATGATAAATTATATAATTTTAAAAAAGCATTATTGCATATTGCTATACCATCAAACACAAAAGCCATTGTCATATAATCACTAGTTGAGGTTATTGAATTTCTGGTTGATGTTGAAATAATTCCCAAAAGAAACATATTCTGTTGATCTTTAGTTAAATTAATATAATTTTGACAATGTAAAATAGCAACTTCTTGATTAATTTTTTCTAAACATTTTTTATTACAACATTTTTTTTAAGTATGTTTATAACGTAATTTTTTGCTTCTTCATTTTTTCTATTTAATTTTTCTTTCTCAGCTTCCAATTCACTAATTTCTGACTCTTCAATTGGTTCATTATTGTAAATTTTTTCAAATTTTTTAATTTCTATTTCTGAAAAACTTCATTATTTATTTCATCATCAAAGTCATCATCAAAGTCATCATCAAAATCTTCTACCACATTGGTCTCAATAATATTTTCTGTTTCAATATCTTCAGATGAAGTTTCCATAAAATCATTTTGGAATTCTTGTAAATTTTCATGTAAATCTATTAATTCTGGATGGGTCTCATCAAAAATGTTATTCAGATATAAAGGATTATTGTTAGTACACATATTGATAATTTATTAAAAATTTTAAAATTTATTGTGAATGATAATCAAATTTAGATATTTTTTTGAAGATCATTCC